ACATTTTTGTTTTTAGATAAAGATAAAATTGTTAGATAAAGTTTCTCCTAAAATATTGCTCCTGTGAAATACCTCTCTCAATATATTAGTATATCACTGACGGACTGACCTACTGCTTCTGAGAATTTCAAATTATCCTGACTGCCTCTGGTACATAAATGTTTTCAGTGCCTTCGTGTATGTTCACTTCTAGTTGTAACCATATTAATTTGACGTTAAAAGAGGCAAAAGCGTTAATAAAACTAGTACAACACCGCCGCCTTGTGGTGGAGCTGCAATATTTTAAAAAATTTTCTGAAATTGCTGATCTAAGTATAGTTGAAATAAGAAAACAAATGCTGTACATCTAGACACCGTACATTAAAGAAGCTGAACATTAAAAAGAAAATTAAAAAATACTGTAAAAATATAAAATATAATGATAAGTTAATTTATCTAAAACAGCTGTTACTGAATGACATGATAAATACATTGTATGTTTGTATTTTATATAGTATAGTTTTCTATTTAAAACATAAACCAGCCATATTAAGTAAATAGTCATTGAAGACAGCGATTTTTGCAGTAGAATACATTTTTTTTATTATCATGTATTGGACATGACAATGTAATATTGAAAATGACATCGTTCACAATGCAAACGTTGTCATGTCTTGTTAGGTAATAATAATAATAATAATAATAATAATAATAATAATAATAATTTAGTTAATGGTACTTTTAATTAGTGTGAATTTCTGCGTTTAAATACTGTACACAGTCTTCGCGCACATTCGTCGCTCTGTCATGCAGATCGCACCAGGAATGACACTGAGGAGTCGTGTCAATCAATGAAGACCAACCACCTGAATCGTCAGCAGCCCCTCCTGCTCCGAATTCGGTCACATTAAAGACTTTACACGTCTCTGCTCATCATTACCGGGAAACACAGCTCACACACTGTACAATGAAGCTACAAGTAGTACTTGGTTTACTTGCAATATGTAGGTACATTATTTTTTCTAACCCCAATTTTGTCTTCATGTTTT